TAGTGAGGCTCACGCGTCCACTCAACCAACTGATGGGCTGCAACACCCTGAATACCCACATATAAAGTGTCGAATTTTGGCCTCTGATGAATATTCAAGCCCGCCTTTACTTAGGGCGGGCACTTAGCTTGCTGGGGTTCTCTACCCAGAACGTGTGTATGTCTGATAAGGCTCCGTGAGGGCTCGTTCCTCGCATTCCATCCCCTTTAGCTTCGAAAGTCCGCTGAGATGCTTCATGTTGGTGCCTTCCCCTTCAGTTTCTTCTCAGTCTCGGACACCCTCCGAGGAGCTGTCTTAACAAGTTCCTCCCTTGTAAACCATCGATCTTCCTTAGGATCCGTATGATGCCTTTAACCGTACTTTGTATGCTTTCATAGGTTTCGGCGGTCTACCCCTGGCAACAGGCTTGGGAACAGGCATGTCTCTATGCTCCAGGATATCGTCGATGTCCACGTGGCCATCCATGGTTGGTGGAAGCATAGATCTCCGTGATGGGAACTGTTCTGTCTCAGCGAAAGGTGCAAGCTTTGAGGCGTGAAACACTGGGTAAGTGAGTACGTGACCAGGGATACGAATGACGTACGAGGGACCATCCAATTCACTACCCACAATGTCTAAGACTTCCCAGGGACCGAAATACTGAGGCATTAGTTTCCTAGAGATGCCAAACTCCTGTCCCAACTCACTAGCCTTTACCCAGACACGTTCCCATACCTAAAATGTGGACTGTCGGCGATGCTTGTTCTCAGAAGCAATCATGGCTTCCTGAGATTTCTTGATGTGTTCGACAGTCAACTGCAACAATTTCTCATATTGGACACCAAATTCAACGGTTCTAGGAGTCGCAGCAGTTCGGTTTTCAGGCAGAAGGAAGTCCAGGGCAGATCTAGGCTTCCATCCCAGATGCAACTGATTAGGACTGACGTCGGTGGTGCTGTGTACAACATTGTTGTACAAACTGGCGATGAGAGGTAGTTTCTCATCCCAGTCATCCTGGCTGGGCTTGATGTAGTGCCTCAGCATATAATGCACCACACGGTTCATTTGTTCAGCCTGCCCATTTGCTTCTGGATGATTCCCAGAAGTCGTTTAAAGCTGGTTGCCCATCTGTTCAGCGGCCTTCTTCCACATCTCACTAGTAAACCGGACATCTCTATCACTAACAATGGTCTTTTGCAGTCCAAAGTCACGCACCTAGTTGTCCATGAACAACTTGATGACGTGCTCAGTCCTGGCAGTCTCCGGCATGGCGATTAGTCTGGCGTACTTAGTGAACCTATCCACTATGACAAAGATATGCCTTTTGCCATTCTTGGTGGTCACGAGGGTATCCATGAAATCCATGGAAACACTCGGTCATGGACCAACAGGAATGGGTAGGGGTTTCAATAACCCAAGCGGGGCTTGAGTCCGCGGCTTGTCCCGCTGACAGACTTGACAAGTCTGCACAAATTTCTTTGCATCGTCCAGCATGTTAGGCCACCTTAATCGTTGTACTAAGTTAGCAGAAGTATTCTTGTAGCCGAAATGTCCCGTTGCGTCATGACACTCACCTAAAAATAAACTCGCAAAATTTCTCTAGATGGGACAACTAATCTTTTGAATCCCGCCTTTTCAAGAAAGAGCAACCCATCCACCATCACAAGCTCATCTGATGTGGCCTTGTCCTGGGCCTCAAGTTTGCGAATGATGTCCATCATGACAGGGTCTTCCTTGTAGGCTTCCACCAAGGATCGAGTGACATTGTCAGATAGGCCAAACTCAGTAATTAGCGCACCCAGGTAGTCTGCCCTACAGGATAAAGCATCCCGCAACCTTGTTATACTCTCCTTTCACGTCGTCTAGCTTGAAGTCATACTGGTCTAGGACTTCAATCCAACGTTTGAGTGTGTCAGAGAGAACAAGTTGTGTCTTGATCCACTTTGAGTGTCTGATGGTCAGTTCTCAAATAGAAGAACCATCCCAACAGATAATGCCTCTCGTGGACAAGTGCCTTGTAGAGGGCGTAGAGTTCTCTTTCATAGGTGGACTTCGCCAATTTCTTAGATGGCTTTCTTGCTCATGTACTCGATCAACCTCAACTTTTTCCCTTCCTGTTGAGCCAAGATTGCACCTATGCCGTACTGGCTTGCGTAAGTGGTCACTACGAATGGCCTTTGAGGATCGGGGACCATGAGAACCTCATGATGTGTGAGGGCATGCTTCAATCTCTTGAAAGCAGCCTTACATGCATTTGTCCATTCCCATGGAGTGTCAAGGCTCGTTAGATCAGTCAAGGGGGATGCGATCGTACTGTAGTTTTGTACAAAATTGCGGTAATAACCACACATCCCCAAGAAAGATCTGACCTCAGTTACAGACTGGGGTCGTGGCCAGTCCCTGATACTAGCCACCTTTGCATCTTCCGGCCTAATACCCTCCGCAGATACTTCATGACCAAAGTACACGATTTTAGTGCGACCAAATTCGCATTTCTCTAAATTGATCTTGTCGAAGGAGAGAAAGAACTCGTCTACATGTTGGGCATGCTCCTCGACAGTTCTACTGAAGATAAGAATGTCGTCGAGGTACACGACGATAAACTTATCCAAGTAGTCGTGGAATATCCTATTCATGGCCTGTTGGAATGTACCCGGCACATTGCAAAGGCCGAAGGGGATCACCACAAACTCGTACAGACCGTACCTGGTCTGAAATGCGGTTTTGTGCTGATCTTCCGATCTAATGGCAATCTGATGGTAGCCGGATTTCAAGTCTATCTTTGTAAAGTACTTTACATCCCTGCACCCTATCCAAAAGGTCGTCGATGTGCGGTAGGGGCTCGACATTTTTAACAGTGATGGCGTTGAGGCCCCTATAATCAATGCACATCCTTAGTGATCCCCCCTTCTTCGGTACAAATAGGAGTGGTGAGCTGAAGGGGGAGATGCTAGGTCGTATCCAATCCTTTTCTGTGAGCTCTTTCAGTTGCAGACGGACCTCGTCCAACTCGGTCGGAACCATCCTATAGATTCTCCCTTTGGGTATCGTGCTTCTAGGGATGAACTCTATGGCATGGACAACCTCCCTGTCTACGACACCTGTGGGCTCCTCAAACAGATCAGGGTACCTAGCGACGACACTCTCTATCTCTGGGGTTGATTTAACGGCCTCCCCTTTTGCCGAGACAAAGACTAAGTATATACCCTCCTCTTGGTTCTGTTTATAATAGTTGTAAAAGGCCGATGCGCATAAACACCCATAGGAGTCAATCAACCTACTAGCCTTATACTTAACCAGTCTAACAGGCCTCCCATTAGGCAACTCGTGCCTCAACACTTTTTTGTCCCAGTCAAACTGGGGCTTGGCAACCTCAAGGTAGTATATGCCTAACAACATGTCGAAAGGCTGGTCGTCACTAACTAGGAACGATATCTTATGAATCACTTCCCCTCCTGGATAGGAGAAAGTGCAGACCACGTCTTTTACGTAGTCCTCTACCATCATGCGCTCTTTGTTGGCCAGAGTAGATGCTACCGGTCTACTCAGGCGCTGCACCCAGTCCTTTCGGCGCAGTTTCTCAACGCAGTCGCGACTTATAAAGTTTCGTGGGGAGCCGATGTCTACAAAGGCCCCACATTTGCGGTCCCCTACACCAACTTCCACAACGAAATGCTCCCCTCTCGGACCTCTACTTAGTGCCACCCGACCACTCACTTTGTAGGTCCTCTAAGACCTAAGACACATCCAAAGAGCAGAGAATCATTGGGTCAAGATGCGTCTGCGGGGTGACGAAGGAGTCAATAGCTTTGGCCAACTCTTGAAACGGGCAGTGTACATCACCCGCTTTAACGAGAGTAGAAGCAGCTATAACTTCTACTGGCCCTAGGTGTTTCTCTAGCCGAAACTCGACGAGGCCCCACTCTGGGAAGAACGTATCCCGCCCTTTGGTGGTATCTTCTGCGGGACCTTAGCGTTCTTGCACTTGAATTGTCGATGGCCATACTCGCCACAGTTAATGCAAGCACCCCACTAGTAACGATCCCGCCACACATCTTGATCCAAACCTGCTCGAACCAATGCCTCCATCTTGTGCGGGTGCGGGGTTTGCCCCTGACTCCTTTGTTGTCCGCCCTAACCGCGGCCAACTGCCTTACCCTTCACTATTGCAACGAGGTTGCTACCCTCAGCATCATCCTCGCCGTCTATCTCTGAACCGTCCACAAGATCAGTCACATCATCGATCTCAGTTTGATACCCATCGGAATCAACCATCATCAATCGACTACCCTTCTTTTTCCACTCTTGTGGAATCTTCTTCTTTCTTCCATCCGTAGAGGGGGCCTAAGCACCTCCTAGCGTAGCCTCCAAATCTAAGGCCTTCTTGCTAAATGTCTCAAAGGTGTGGTACTCTAGCCAAGCCTCGCTGGGTAACAGGTTTTTGATGTTTGTGGGAAGACATCTTAAGAACATGGTCAACAAGACCTGTGGATTGTACTCAACCTTGGGGACGACAATCAATCGCTCTACAACTGAGGTGAGCCTGCGGACAGACTTGTACTTTCTAGTATCAAGCTTCAGCAATCCATCAATGGCAATTTGTGCATGCTGGGGGTTGTGCCATCGCGCTTCCACCAGATCCATTGAGCTCTCAAGGGTATGGGTCTTAGCCCAGTCACCCATGTTCCTGCAGAATCCCTTTTTGAGGCTACTGATCCATTTAGCCAGCAAGTTGCTGATCCCTCTAAATAGGAAGCAGCATTTATCACTTCCTCCTCCACCAACGTCCTCTTCGCCCTCACCCACACTGGCACCGTTCTCAACCAAGTGTCGAGAGCCTCATCCTTCTTATCTCCTAAGAAGGTTGGGGGTGGTTTCAGTGGGGTCTTGGGGTACCAAGGCTGTTGCTATCCTGTTGGCGGGACAGGTGGCGACTGTGGTGTAGCTCCAGCCGCTGGACCAGAAGATGAAGAAGCAACAGTCTGTGCTGCTGCTGCTTATATACCGCTTGGGGTGGTAACGGACTGAGGCGGATACGGGCCTGTCATCGCTGAGAATGGCAGCGATGGCAAAGCAGCTGGCCTGACTCCTGGCCTGTGCATGGTGTTCAGGATCTGGTCCAAGGTGTCTTGGACAACGTCCAGTTTGCTGTCCATGTACGCGTGCATGGACATGATGTTCGCCTTAAGTATCCTTGCAGTGTCGTTCAGGGCCGAGTCTAACCCCGCTAATGCAGCTTTGTTTGCCTCTCTACTCTCAAGTCTAGTACTTCTATTTCTAATCTCATTCTCCCTGTCGACAACTTTCTCAAGTTCCTCCTCTAGCCTTAAACGGATCCTCTCTACTTGCTGGAGCTCCATTTGCTCCCTGGTGCATAGAGGCGGCGAGCTGGACTGCAAGCCCGCCATCTGACTGGCCCTGGACCCTGTTGTACTGAAAACGGACTGTCCTGTGGTGTCTGCAATTCCCAAAGTGAAACCGAACGAAGTTGCTGTAGTTGATGTCGCAGATGTAGCCATTGCTCCTGCGCTAACTGTTGCTGCTGCCAAGATTCTCTCTACAGCTGTTGCAGCTTCCCTCACAATCTCAAGATTACGGACCCTTGCTTCGGCCCTAAGCCTTCTCTCGTCTCCCAGTAACAGGACCTGGAACACTATAGGTACTCTAAGCGTGTCACGCCTAGTCTGCCTTCGGTCATCAGCTGAACCTTCACCACCCTCTGATCCACTTATCAGCTAGGCAGACGCTATCTGCACTAGTGTCCACTCTGGAACCTACCGCAGCATGCGTCTGACCGGTTCTAAAAAAAATAAAAAAACAATATCCGGCGAGTTACCTAGACTACCGGTCAAGCGGTATCAACAGCATTCACACGGACTGTACACAAAATCTAAGTTTACTTTGATTAGTTCTCTTATGGCAGCTTCGAAGAGAACTGGTTATGGTAGAACACTATAGTTCTAGTCTAGGCTGTTTGTGAGGTGTTAGCAGTCTGTCAACCAACTAATCAAACATAAAAATAAACTAGGTTGTTTGTGAGGTGTTAGCAGTCTGTCTAGGCAGACGCTATCTGCACTAGTGTCCAGTCTGGAACCTACCGTAGCATGCGTCTGACCGGTTCTAAAAATAAAATAAAATAAAAAATATCCGGCGAGCTACCTAGAGTACCAGTCAAGCGGTACCAACAGCATTCACACAGACTGTACACATAATCGAAGTTTACTTTGATTAGTTCTCTTACAGCAGCTTCGAAGAGAACTGGCTATGGTAGAACACTACAGTTCTAGTCTAGGCTGTTTGTGAGGTGTTAGCAGTTTGTCAACCAACTAATCAAACATAAAAATAAACTAGGCTGTTTGTGAGGTGTTAGCAGTCTGTCAACCAACTAATCAAACATAAAAATAAACTATGTAGCAGATATATGCACAATGGGTATTGTCGTGTCAGACTGTTGAGTCTCAATTAGAATCACCCTCCCTGTATCCAACACTGTAGGCATCATCAAGCCCACCCCTGTGCCCAAGGTCTTTACCCTCGTGTGCAACGAGCCTTAGGTGTATGCTTATGCCCAACGTCTAAGGTGTGCATTAGCGGCCCACCCCTGTGCCCAAGGTGTATGCTTATGACCAGCTTGCCTGTTCTTTACCCTCGTGTGCAACGAGCCTTACGTCTGACTGATCTGGCTGATCAAGAGGCGGTTTAAGGACAGCCCCCACGGTCCTCAAGAATTATTTTACGTTGCAATCAGGACGATGATCACAGCCAGTGGACAGATCAGACACCCGCCAAAAATGTTTATAGTTGGTCTGGAAAGCGTTTGCATAGGACTGGGTAGTCCGCACACCTCTTCTATTAGCGCAACAAGAGCCTTAATGGACAAAACAGCATGGCCTGCGTGTACTACTCCCATGGGTTGGCATGGTGACCATGACCTGTGCTTCGACCAAGGCCCTTCAGAGGCACCGCCCTCTCCTTCCAGATGCGCCACCGGGAAGAATGTCGTCTCTCAAGGTAGAGCGCTCACGACTCCTCGCACAAAAGAGAGGACACTCAAGGTTGGACTCACTTCCTCGCGGTAAGAAGAGATTGAGAGGGTAGATAAGGAATGGGAATAACGTACCTGGAGATAGCTGCCCCCAACCACAAATTTCTCACCAATTGAGCCGACGTGCATTTTGATGACTGGTCATAGACTCGGTACCACCCACGACGCAGTGCAGTGCCACCTCAGCCAAAATGCCACATCAGCATGCTCTTATCATCATACATACATCCGCTGTCGCCACAGCCTTCCAGCGGCTGACCCATCTACCTGGGCCCCGCTCTAACAAGCCAGCGCCAAAGTATCCTTACTGCACAGAAGCATCGTCAGCGCACCAAGTAACAATGTCGTCAACGCTAGGTAAGCGGCGATCACGAACCAGCTCCGATACCAAATTGCAAGGAATATGTGTGGGAACAATATACAGAAAACCAAGTTGTGAAATCACACAGATGTCCAGGTAGTTGTGTACAAGCAGAGAGCACAAATGCACCGAGATCCCATCCAAATAAGAGCAATACAATGAAGTAATGAGCCAATGTTCAAGCCCTCAGGGCACACCAACAGAGTATCCAAAGTCGCTCCTCTTTGTCTGGCACCCAGCGCCCAGCCTACACTACCTGACTATCCTACCTACATCAGCATTCTCGCAACAGGCTCACTTTGACTCTCGAAGACCAATGTACATGACGTCAACACCATAGCCGACCCCTTCCATGTACCAGGTACGTATCTCGATTCCCTCATCAGACCCTGTCCACCCACACTTGCCTCCTTGTTTGTAGTGATGCGGTGAAAAACCCCGAATTTTGGGCCTCCCATTAACCCCTGGCGCTCCGCTGCCCTGCAGCGCCCCACTTCACCACACACGCGCCCACACGCGCTCTGGCCTCAATGCAGCACGCAGCCTCTAACGCAGCAACACAGCAGCGTGTCCGCATTGCGTGCGTGGGCCAGAATTCTGGACCCTGGCTGCCCTCCTTCCTATATGAAGTGGCAACCTCTGCTTGGCTGCGTGTGGCCTGGCTGGAAGCTTCCGGCAGCCTCCGGTTGGGCCCCAGTACCTGCGCCCAGGCCCAGTGCTACAGTTGAGGACCTGGGCCCTTTACAGTTGGGCACGGCCTGGGTCTTCAGACTTGGGCCGTTTACTGCATTTGCACAGGACCCGGGTTGTGTACGTCAACAGAGCTGCTTTTGCGAAGGCCTGTAGCCACTTCGTGATGTCTCGGCCCTGCATTGTGTGTACGTGCCCAGGCGCAACTGCCAAGGCCTGGGCCAACTGTACGACGCAGCTTAGTGACGCTCACACGTCCACTCAACCAACTGTTGGGCTGCAACAGCCTGAATACCCACATATGAAAGTGTCGAATTTTGGCCTCTGGCCCTCTGATGAATATTCAGGCCCGCCTTCACTTAGGGCGGGCACTTAGCTTGCTGGGGGTCAATGCCCAGAACATGTGTATGTCTGGAAATTTCAAAATCCGATTTCAATTAATTCCCCCATAATTTTTGAGATTTTCCTTAAAAAATGCATTAAAAATTCAATTTAATACCTGCGAGGATCTGGGTCCTCGGCAGGCCTGAGGGGCCCCTGCAGCAAATGCGCCCGCCCTAAGTGAAGGCGGGCCTAACAAATTACGGGAGGCCCTTGACTGTCGATTTCATATTCGGGGTCCAGGCAGTTTCGTCGCGCCAGTTGGTTGGAGGAAAAACACAGGCCTAGCAGAGTGGAAATTCCCAGGCCTTCTAGGCCTTTCCGAAAGCACAGGCCCTGGGCGAGTTTCGCAGCCTCATACACCGACAGTTGGGAGGCCCAACCGAATGAGGCCCAGTAGCTGCACCAGAGGCGCAGTGCAATCAGACTCGTTTCTTTCACGCTTTTCATGCACGTGAACAGCAGCACAGCAAACTGGCGACATGCGCCCACTCAATACTCAGAGATATGGCTTCCAGGTAAGAGTTCACTTCCACTGGCTATGGCGTCTCAGCGCCCAGCAACCCACTGTTCACACACACTGGATCACCCTGGATATCCCACACGCCTCACTCTGCACACTCACACAACACACACACACACTGACTACGGTTATGGCAGCGATGGCTGCCTCTACACTATCGCTATTCTACGCTCTTCTGGCCCACTTCGACTTCGGGCATACTGCAGACCTCGCACAAGACGCTGAGGCAGCGCTTCCGCATGGCTTCCGCAGGAATGAATGAATGGATGTGCGCGGCCTCTTGATTTATACTTCTGTGACTCGTTGGTCTGCCCTGTTACCCTGAGCCCACGGTGTACACAGTCCCAGACGGTACTTGCTCGACTGGACCGGACTGACTGGACCGGGACTGCTGACTTTGCACGGTGGACTTCCACCACTTGCCCACTTGCCTGGACCTACACATGCTGATCCGGGGAGACCTGTTGCAAGTGCACGTAAGTCTTAACGTTGGCCTCCCAATTGTCAAAGTTCTCTTCCCTCTTTCCACTGTCGGAATCGGGGAACTTGACTTTGACTGGCTCCCTGCGAGGACGTGCCTCTTCCTCCTTGGGGGCTGTCAGCTTGACGCCTTCAATGGCGCCCACGCAAAATCGTTTTGTCTTCTCGAGGCGATGGTTCACCTCGGCCCCTACTGCCCCTACCAGTTCGCGGGCAAAATCCCGAAATCCCATCCGCATCGAGCGCACGACCATATCCTGACTTCTGCTAAACTCATATTGTTATCCCTGTACCCGGGCTAAGCGCTCAACACTCTGGGCAATGATCTCCACCTTTCGTTGGAGATCCACCTGGGCGGCCATCTGCTCTCTCAGGTTCTTGACTTGCTCTAACTCTTTGGCCGCCTCACTTGCCGCCTCTACTCTTCTTTTCTTTTCCCTCATCATCCTGAGCCTCCACTCCATCTTTTTCTCATCCTCCATCGCTTGTCGCTTCAGGGGATCTTCCTCTGCATCCCATTCTTTCATGGCGGCCTCCTGCTCATCCTTGGGAATATACATGGCAACCTCCTCCTCTTCGCCCAAAGACAAGTTGGCAACCCATTCTGAAATCCTCTTCTCCATTTCATCGCTTTTACTCTCGCTGTACTGCCCTCGTTGCTCTCTCCTCCTTTCCAACGGCTGTTCCTCTTCCTCCTCCTCCTCTTCCACCTCTTTTAACTTCGCTTCTTCTTCTTTTTTCAACCTCTCCTTCTCTCTGGCCATCTCCTCCTCAATCTTCTTCAATTTCGCCGCCTGCTCCTCCAACAAAGCCTTCTTCTTGGCCTCCTTCTTCCCTCTCCTCTCTTTCAGGATGGTGGCAGCCTTGGCCTCTTCTTCAGGTGTGTAGGGGTGTGTGGTCGTGCCACCCTTGGTCTCTACCCTACACGCAAAGGTGTTCCAGAATCCCAACGGAAACATGAAACGCCAAAGGGTCCCCCAAAGGAAGAACCCAACGAGGAAACCATACATGCGGTAGTCATCCATGGTGTTCAGGTGCACGACAATGTCCCACTCCTTACCACGTAGACCTACCCAAACCACTGAGTGACTGACTTTCTAAGGACCACAGGGTAGAACCCTGTCAGCTATGGTCACTAGCCTAGACCTACTCTAAGGCTGTCACTACTGAACCAGTGGCTGATCTGGAGGCATTTAAGGAGATCCCCCTAACTCCGCAAGAATTCTTTAACGTCGCAGACAGGACGACGTGATCAGCTTGGTTCTGCCTGTGCTTTCAGCCCACAACTCAGCCTTTCCGGCCTACTGTGCCACACCGAGCAGCCCGCCGGTCTGTACCGGTCCTTGGGAGGGTTCGTATCCCCCGAGACAGTCGAGTCGTCAGACACAGATC